CCCACTTTTGTTCCGGACACTACCGAGCTGCGCACCTACCGTAAAACGCGTCAATTAATTAGACCTTTCTTTTTCAACTACCCACCATGCCACCAATTCGTACTCAATCCTCTCGAAATTCAATTGAGCAGGAAGGTAGACTATTATTAGCTGCTCAGGCTATTAAAAAGCAAGAAATTACCTCTATCCGCGAAGCAGATCGCCGTTTTAATGTCCCCGAATCAACCCTACGTACGCGTCTCCGCGGCATTGAAAATCGTGTCGAAACCCGCGCCAACGGCCATAAATTGACCCAAATTGAAGAGGATACCCTCCGGAATTGGGTACTCTCAATGGATACTCGTGGAGCAGCCCCCCGACCCGCTACTATACGAGAGATGGCCAATTTATTACTTGCCGCGCGCGGATCTACCCCAGCTCTTACAGTCGGCCAAAATTGGTGTACAAAGTTTGTGAAAAGGCACCCAGAGCTATCAAGCCGATTTTCAAGACGCTATAATTATCAGCGCGCGAAGTGTGAAGACCCAAAAATCATTTCTGAATGGTTTAATCTCGTTCAAAAAACGATCATTCAATACGGCATTGACCCAGACGATATCTATAACTTTGACGAGACTGGATTCGCAATGGGTCTTATCTCTACCGCAAAAGTCGTGACAAGGGCTGAATTCTACGGTCAGCGATTACTTTTACAGCCCGGAAATCGCGAGTGGGTTACCGCAATTGAGTGTATAAATGCCTCGGGGTGGGCGCTACCTCCGTGCGTGATTTTTAAAGGCAAAGTCTTCGTCGAGTCTTGGTTCGACGGCCTTCCGGACGATTGGCGCTTCGAGCTTAGTCGAAAAGGGTGGACTTCCGATGAAATTAGCCTTCGGTGGCTCGAAAAGCTCTTTATTCCGTCTACTTCTTCGCGTACGAAGGGGAAGTATAGACTTTTAATACTCGACGGCCATGGAAGTCATTTAACCCCGAAATTCGACGAAATTTGCAGAAAAAACGATATTATCGCAATTTGTATGCCTTCGCACTCGTCTCACCTTTTACAGCCTCTTGATATTGGCTGTTTTGCGGTATTAAAGCGCTCGTACGGTCAGCTTGTCGAATCGAAAATGCGTGTCGGAATCCACCACATTGATAAGCTAGACTTTCTCGAAGCCTACCCGTTCGCGCGAATCGAGGCATTTAAATCAGGCAATATTAAGAATAGCTTCGCCGCCGCTGGTTTAATACCTTATAACCCCGATCGAGTGATCTCGAAGTTCGATATTCGCCTTCAGACCCCGACACCCCCCTCGAGCCGCGGGAGCGAGTGGGAGCCAAAAACGCCGTCGAATAACGTCCAATTACAAAACCAAGCTTCCTCAATCAAGGCTTTGCTAAAGGAGCGCTTAAAAAGCCCACCGATCCCACTTAACTCCGCGATAGATCAGGTTTTAAAGGCCTGCCAAATTACGATGCAATCGACGGCTTTTCTCGAGAAAGAAGTAAGCGATTTACGTGCTGCCAACGAGAAGCAGCAGCAAAAGCGGACTCGGTCTACTAGACAGATAGCTCACGAAGGTGATATCTCCGTCCAAGAGGTTCGTGAGCTACGGTCGGAGCCAACTGAGTCCCAAATAGCCCGTATAACCCAGGTTCGTGAGCAGATTTCAGGACCTCTACAGCCTCGAACAAGGGCCTTACCAAAATGCGGGTTATGTGGAATTCAGGGACATAAGAGAAATGCATGTCCAAATAGGTCTAAATAGGTAATTTGCTTAATTTAATGGCGTTGTGGTAAGATAAAAGCATTTAAATGTAATAAATCGAGGGTAGGTGCGCAGCTCGGTAGTGTGCGCAGCTCGGTAGTGGATTACGTTATCCAAAGGGGTGTTGAATTATCAATCCCCTAAAAAAATTAGTTGCAAACCTCGCCTACTTTTTCTTATTATACTCACCCATCCTACATTAAATAACTCGTGCCAGGGAGAGCAAGCACCGCTTTAACAGCCGTAGATAGGACTCTGAACACTTAGAGAATAGCCTTCAAGTTCGCTTACTACTAATACGCAACTACATGGGACCTCGCAGAGATGGAAAACAGAGACACGAAAGCTGAAAGTAGACATTATGTTGGCTTTTAAGACGTCATGTTGAAGCTTGGGAAACAAGAATATTCAAAAGCAGATAGTGGACTTGGCCTTAGGCCACTGGGCGTAATCAATTTGTGTGTGTGAGAGAGACAATCATTAAATAACTCTCCCATATACTTCAAGCAAACAGGACACTATGTGGTAGTAGTAAATAGGACCTAGCATTGGGTACCAGCTAGGCTTGGTTGATAACCCGCTCTTTTTCCTGAGTCGGTGCAACAATTGATCCATGATGGTTTGTAGTCCTTTTCCTCAATGCAGCACTAAAACCATGTTAGAGGATAAATGAACGCACAGGGTTCCTGTTACATACCCCTTCGAAATCTGTTTCTTCAAAAATTAATTCACGACTTCCACAACAGGAAGCTGTAAATCCAGACGCTTTATTAGATTCATTGGTGCAGTGCGCTAAGTAGCCGCCCATTGACACTCCAGCCAAACCAACTAATACCAACGTTAGCTGTGTTTCTCTTATCTTACTATTCCGACTGGCTTACAAAGTACCAGTGCCAGACGAGGTAGCATGGTGGCAACGTAGCTTCGGGTGACAAGGAACGTCCAGTGGAATAATCAAGATATGAAGAAAATTACGCCGTGTTGCTTAAGGATAGTCTCCTTATTTATAGTCATATAGGCAGCTATTACCTGAAATCATTAGATACGGATGTGCCGGGAACTAAAATATAATCAGGTGGTATATGAAATAATAATAGAAGTGGGATGTGAGGCTAGCCTCACAACCCTTCAGCTTCTCGCACGACTCACTATACCGTTTTTGGATATGCCAAAGAAGTGGTACCTTCAGCCGCCTGAAACGAAACTAAACCTAATGTAATCTTGAATATGCATAATCCATATATAAGAGGTTCTTTTGTGTCAGATTTAAGGGGGCAAAATGTCCTTCGCTTACTCTGTGGCATACATTAGTGTGTCTTAGTGTGCATTAGTGCGACCCACTCAACCTCGGTGGTGGATCCTCATACAGATATTAGTCAAAAGTATTTACCCACTACCCAGCGACCAACCCACCGTTTTATTTCTCTTCCTATACCATCCCTACGCATCTGATTCTAATGGAAATGGGCCTAAAACATGGGAAAAGGGCATAATTAATCCCTAAGCAAAGGTCAGCTATTATCTACACTACAAAAATGGTATTTCGCAGTCAAAAGTAGCTGATAATTTTAGCTGCACTCGCAAGACTAATTACAATACGCTCAAGCGCTTCGAGGAGCATGAATCGACCTAGTCCCTTTCTTGAACTGGCTGTCCTTTGAAGCTAGGCTCTCGAGCTTGCTTATGTCTCTATTTATAAGCGCGGCGGCACCCGTCCTAGACTCATAAATAGCTTAGTGCTGCGACACCCTGTTATCCGTCTCGGTCTACTATATAGCGAGTATTAAAGCAATTCGGATTATCGAAACAGCGCTCAAAGTAGAAGATACCGATTAGGCCCTCTCTAGCGACGCTAACGAAGAGAATACTATTGCAGCCAAGGAGAGACGCGTTGCACTAGCCGAACCTTGTGGATTGCGCTCGGAGCACATGTTCTAGGATTCCCTTGCACTAGCTCTACTGCTAGTGCAGGCGGCTCTACCACGAGGGCCAAGATGTTGCTCGTCCTTGTTTTGCTCCCCATAACTTCCACCCTACGGTGGACACCAGATGGGTATATTGTTGTCTGTGATTTGATAGCGTTATGTATTTGCATTGTCCGTAACGGTGTCTCTTCACATTATTGCTGAACCATGGGCGACCGTGGACCTTAAAATATTAACCTATACAATTGTAGATATAAACCCGAATGTTGCTTTTCTTATTCTGCTAGTCAGTTAGTACATCCACAACCAGCAAGACCAAAATTTAGTCAGTGGCTGGCGGGTTAGAGCCATTGGGTTTGGTGGTGCAGCAGGGAAGCCGAGTTTTGATTTGACAGGTCTCTCTGACTGCGAAGCCAAATCCAACCAGTCTATCATTGCTTAATAGAATTAGCCTGCAGTTGTTCCTTGTCTAATTCCCCGCGGCTGTGGATCGTGGGTGGATTCGCAACGGCGCCCTCCAAATCGCATATACTTACCCCTGCAGACGTTTCTGGGTTATACCCAAGTACGTACTTTAGTTTCTGTACAGACTCGACTTTAACCCCATCGGAAGTAGTGTATTCTCACGGGGAAAGGGAAAACTAATTGCTAAAAATGTGGAAAAATGGATTTGTCTATTTTGAAATAATACGCCATTGGCGGGTCCAGACGATCTTTTCCAGCCTCGAGGCGATCAACGCATTGCCTAGTGCTGTGCAGTCACCTTTGCCCCTTTCGACTTGGCATCATGTCACTTGCCCGTGGCGTGTTTGTTTTATCAAGGCACTTTTCTTTGTCTTTCTCAGAATTGATGCTCAATTCTGAGGGATATCCACTTAGGCTCAATGGACTACCAAGCGGGTCCGCCATTTTCAACTGTTGGCTTCTCACTGGCCTCTAGCACGATCTACCCGGCCGTGAAAGATCTAGGTCTCCGTTTCTCGACATCTCTGAAGCATAAGGGGTAGATAAGTCCAATTGTGGACATCGAGGCCGGGGTAGAGCCAGTGTGCTTCTATTCCGACCCGGTGGCTTGAATTCGAGCCGGAAGTGTTCTGGCACAGCCATCGAGGGATCAGGGGTATAAAACCTAATGTAGATCACTCGTTTTGTTCTTGGATATTCATCACTGTTTCTTTTTTCCATTTGCACCTTTGTTTTACCCAGTCTATCGTTAATCTGGCGGCTTTTCCGTCCATTTCCGGTCTTTCGCTTTATATCCTTCCATATTGCAAGCGTTCGGCCTGTATAATTGTTATCACACATTCGACACATTCGAAATCTTAACATGCGTTCCTCTCTCGTTCTGCTCGCCGGTCTGGCGGGCTCGGCTCTCGCTTACCCTACCGATATGGCCGTTGAGCGCCGTACTTTCGGTCTCCCCGCTGATATCCTCGGCAGTGTTTCCGATATCACCGTCAACGTGACGTCCATTCCAGGCGCCGTCCTCGGTGGCGGACACCACAGCCACTCTTCTTCTCTCGTTGCTGGTCTCGGAGCCGAGGGTGCTGCCGCTCTTCAGGGTGGTGCCTTGGGTTGCAAGGCTGGTGTCATTCAGGCCGAGGCCCGTGCTGCCCTGAAGGTCTGGCTGCACCTCCACGCCGACCCTGAGGCTTCTTTGACAACTTCCCTGATCTCCTGGTGTGAGGGTGACGATGAGATCGTCCTCTCCGCTGATGTCTTGGCTGCCCTTGCCGTGTACATCCCCTCGTGTGCTGATATCGCCGCCAAGGGTCAGCTATACGTTACCATTGATGGTATATTCGGTGCCTCCTCCCTCGAGTCTGTTCTCGTCCTGAGTGCTTCCCTGCAGTCCTCTCTCTCTGCTTGGATTGAGGCCGCTGTTGGCCTTGATATTGACGTCAAGGCCGGTCTCAATGCCTGCGCTGCTGGTGGCATTGTCACTAGTATGACTGCTGATGTCAAGGCTAGCCTCCTCGCCTGGATCAACGGTTCCAACTGTGATCTCAGCGCTGAGCTCAAGGTCTCCGTTCTGGCCTGGATCAACGGCCACCATGGCCACGGTCTCGTTGAGATCGGTACCCTTGGTGAGGCTGCTCTCTCTATCGTCTCTGTCGGTGCTTCCGTCGGCGTTCACGTCGAGGAGTCCGGTATTCTCTCCGTTGGAGGCCAGGCCTCCCTCGCTGCCTTCCTCGGTGCCGACGTCTCTGCCGACCTCAGTGTCGATGTCCAGCTCGCTCTCGAGGCCTGTGCTAAGGGCAAGCTCGCCACTGCTGTTGATCTCGACATTCGTACCAAGCTCGCTATCTGGCTCTCCGGCTCCGGCTGCTCGCTCGGTGTCGAACACAAGGCCGTCGTTCTCTTCTGGCTGTCCTTCGGTGTTGATGCCTCCGTCTCCGTTGACCTCGTCAGCGGTGTCCTTTCTGATGTGACTGGTCTCACCGAGCTCCTCTCCAGCCTCAGCGTCGACCTCCGTGCTGCCCTCTCCGTCATCCTTTCCGGTGGCAGCCTCGAGTCTATCTCACTGTCTGCTCGCGCTGAGCTCGCTGCCTTCATCGGTGGTTGCACTGGCCTTGAGATTGACGTCAACATCCAGCTCATTATCATCGAGTGGTTCACTGGTTGCTCCATTCCCGGTGCTCCCTCCGGCATCAAGTCGTCTTGGGTCCCCAGCGTGCCTTCCAGCACCTCCTACGTTTTCAGCACTGGTATCCCCTCCGGTCCCGGCACCAGCGCCTCGGTCTCCATCCCTAGTGGCCCTGCTCCCTCCAGATCTTCTTCCTCCGGTGGTGCTTCCGGCTCTGCTCCCTCTGGGGTCAGCCCAACTGGTTCCGTCCCCAGCGGCCCCGGCGCTAGCGTCTCTGTCTCTGTTCCTGCCGGGCCTGCTCCCAGTGGCTCTTCTCCTTCCGGTTCTGAAACCACCCCCTGTGATACCCTCACTGGCGTTGACGTTTCCAGCACTGTGGTCCCCGGTATGCCCGCTCCCTCCGGTGGTGCCTCTGGTTCTTCTCCCTCTGGTGTCAGTCCTACCGGCACTCCCGTCGCCCCCGGTGCCGGTGAGAGCACCACCCCCTGTGACACCCTGACCAGCGAGGAGATCTCCAGCACCGTTATCCCCGGCATGCCCGCTCCCTCCGGTGGTGCTTCCGGCCCCGCCCCCTCCAACACCGACGTCAGCCCTACCGGCACTGCCGTCCTCCCCAGCGGACCCGCTGCCACCGGCGGCTCGTGGACTGAGAGCTGGGCTTACACCCAGACCAAGGAAACCACCATCTCCGCCACTGTTCCTTGCGAGACTAGCTCTGGCAGCGTCCCTGCCATTACCCCCTGGCCGTGGCCTCTTCCGTCACTACCGTTACCGCTACCGTCACCGCCACCGTTTGTGGCTGCGACGAGTAAACGGAACAATACACTTTGTTTCTCAACTCATACCCACTGAGAAAGAATTTCCTTAACTTTTTATTTGCTTTTCCCTGCTTTTCATGACAGAATGACCTTCGCCCCTTGGGGAGTGGTTGGCGGGGTGGTCTCATGGACTCCGTGCACATCCCGCCCCCGTGGGAATCTGTCGTCCCTGCCTTTGTCCTGTCTATAGATATCTTATTATAATTCTAATCTGCTTGTGGAGGTTCAAACCTGATCATTTTTGTATGTTTGGTTTTGCTGAAAGAGGGCTCGGATAATGGAACGGATGAAGTTCCCTCGGCATATATTTGATGACTTGGCATATAGCCGTGTCACGGGACGACCCCCCACCCTCTCGGGTAGGGGGTGTCCCTCAGCCATATTGCAATTCTCAGCCATAATGCAAATTCTCGACTTTTTCAACTTTACGTGTATTCCTACCTACCAAAAATGCCTAAAAAACCTCGTGATGAAGAGGACCTGCTAGCTAAGGCATTACATGCTTATACTACGCGAGAATTTTCATCCCTACGTAAGGCTGCGGACCATTATCGCGTGTCTTATTCGAAGCTTCGCGGTCGCAAAAACGGACAGACATCTCTCTCCGATCGCCCTACCACCAACAATGCATTGAATTCGAATCAGGAAAATGCATTAAACAGCTGGATCGAATTGCTAAATTCTTGCTATACACCTCCAAAGGCAAAAGACATTGAAATTGCCGCAAATCGCCTATTGAAAATGGCAGGGTCGGAGAGAGTTGTCGGCCCAATGTATAGCTATCGGCTTATACGGCGTCTACCTCCACACATCAAGCTTATTACCCAAAAACCAAAGGAATCTTTACGAATTCAAGCTGAGGATCCTGGAGTTATTAGCCATTGGTACGATAGGCTTGAGTATCTCTACCGTGAGCATGGTTTTGAACCTCATGAGATCTATAATTGGGATGAAACCGGCTTCCAAAATGGCGAAGGACTCAACCAACACGTCGTCTCTACGCGTCAAACTGCTAGTATTGCTACTGGAGATCGAGGTGAAACTATTACTGGCATTGAATGTATTGCCGCTGATGGCTGGGTGATGTTTCCATGGTTTCTAGTCAAAGGCAGCGTCCACATAGAAGACTGGTATAGCAATATGTCAACCTCTTCTTCGGCGTACAAAGTTATCCACTTAACGTCTAATGGCTGGACGGATAGTGAGACTGCTTACCGATGGCTCTGCTCGTTTCATGAAGCTACAAAAAACCGCGTACGACGCGGGCGACCGAGGCTTTTGCTAATGGATAATCATGCGTCTCATACAACTATCGAATTTCTCGATTTTTGTAAGGAAAACTTGATTATTCCTTGGTATTTTGTACCTCACACGACTCATATATGTCAGCCTCTTGATGCTGAGGCTTTTTTAAGCCTAAAGCATGAGTTTAAAATGGCGAATACTGAAGTTGTGGCGTGGGGTGGAAGCAATGAAAAACGCGACTTTTTCCGCAATGTTGACGCCGTCCGACGCCGCACCTTAAGGTCCAAAACTATCCAAACATCGTTCAAATCTACTAGTATCTGGCCACTAGATCCTACACAAGTTTTGGATAATTTAGGGCAGTATTCGGATGAAGAGGTACTACGCATGTACGATGAGCCGTCACCCGCCCGCGAGTTCCCAAGTTCAGCAACCAATTCTCCGCCCAATTCTTACGCGCGCATCAAAAAATTAGAGAATACGGTTTTTCCACTACTTGAGAACCCGATTCCTGATTTACAAAAAATTCGGAAGCATGTACGGCGCGCAATTGATGCCGGAAAATCGTCTCTATATAATGCGGAACTTGCGGAGATGAGCCTTACGCGCGCCCTTAGCCACAAAACGCCTGGAAATAAGCCAAAAAGTAAGCGATAGGTAAAGGGAGCTACGAAAAGCCCCCTTTCATCAATTTCAGGTAATAGGCTAGTACAGCATAGGTGTGAGAAAGAAGATGAATCGAAGCTTCGCGCTTGGCGGAAAGACGCAGTGAAAATGGCGGCCGATTTGGCGGCTAAGTAATTGGAGGAAACACTTCAAAATGAGGAGGATGATACATTATTGGCTAATGAGGCTATTGACGGGCTTTGTTTCATGGATTCTGGACCTCACGCGCCTAGGAAATAGCTAGAAGTTGAAGAAATTGAGAATTTGCATTATGGCTGAGGGACACCCCCTACCCGCGAGGGTGGGGGGGGGGGTCCTGTGACACGGCTATTGGCTTACTTCTGCTGCACTGATTTGGAGGCACATTTCGCCCCCTAAACCGCTGCGCTACAGAGACACAGCGTATTCGATTAGCTCAAAATAATGGGCTTATTTACCCGATTTCTAAATTCATATATAAAGGCAGACTGTCCATAGGGCTCTGTATGTCTTCCTCCCTTTATTTTAGTTCAACCTTTTGTTACGTACGTGTTGGACTTAGAATATTTCGAGATGAAACTTACATATGTTCTTCCAACTGGGTTATTTTGCAGCATAGTGCAATGCGGACCGGCTTCCCGTCGAATGTCAGATACGGTGGACACGGATTTTGTGTCTTCAAAATCCCTTCCTAGCAGAGCTCTACTAAATGAATCGATCCCAGAAGTCCAGAGCCATTCTGAGTAAGCACTCCATTGGAACATCCTGAAATATTAAACTGATCATGCCCGGAACTTAGGAAACTGCACACCCTTCTGCCTCGGGTGAACCGCGATTGGACTCTTCCCAAATCTGGTGAAGACGTCTTTCAAATGGGCTCAGTTATAATAAAAGCAATGGTGATATCGGCGACCGGGATCATCTTTGAGATCCTGAACGGCAGCGCGTTTCAGTACGGCATTACGTTCCGAGAGTATGGAACGGAAATTGACGCAGGCTCCGTGGAGGTAGCGAGTGCCAGTATTGGGAAGTTCAACCCTCATGGTTCGATCAAACCGGGAGATGCGATTCAACTGGGCTTCTTAAATAGAGGATAGTGAAAGAATTCTATCCCACGGGGGGTGGCCCAGTCTACTAGACTGCAGGTTAGGGTTTTCTGTTAACTATGGGACATAAAAAGTGGGGCCCGTTAGACTGCAGGTTTATTTCTCCCATTTACTGGCGATTTATTGGTGACCTCACGCAGTCAAGAGGAGCAAGAAGAGTGTAGTTTGGCCATAACGGGTCACCTGTCGCTGCGGTCGTAGACCGTAGCGTCAGATAGGGCCCAAATGACCCGGCCAAACTAGGATGGTGGAGGGGACGGTGGTGGAAGCAGCAGAGACAGCGGGGCCGGCGAGCCTGTCTGGAACTGGTGATTGAGCTTGTACAAAACTGACGCGTTCGCCGTAAAATACACCCTGAAAGACTCTGAGGTCCATCTCCCTAGCATCTGAATCTGGTCGTCGAGTATCCCACTATCGTGCGCATGCTGAGCTGCGCCCTTCCGAAAACTGTGACCCGAGTAGCCCTCTGTCCGTAGTCCAAGCGCTCTTAGCTTAGTAGATAAGGTCGAGAGGAAGTTGTTGCGACTGAATGGTCTTCTGTGGAAGGAGAACAATGGGGCGTCGGGCCCTCGGGGATCGAGAAGTAGCAGCTTCTGAAGGGCATCAAATGGGCAAGCGCCGTCTCCCGTCCTTGCAAGAATAATTTGCACCCCTTCGTGGCGGCGGTCCGTCTTACTGCGCTTGAGTGTGAGTTGTGCGTGGTCTAACGAGGAAGAGAATCCGACGTCGGAGCGAGTTAACTTTGTGGCTGAGAAGATAGAATGTGTGCTAAGGTCTTCAGTCTTGTAGGTGAATTCTCCGAGGCGGAGGAATCCAGACAATGCTACCTGGCACGCGATTGCGAAGTTCAAGTCGTCTAGAAGGTTCGCAGACATCTCCAAGGGCCGTGACGGGAGTGCGGCGAGGCCCGCGGATAGTTTCGTAATAGTGTCACGCGAAATAGGTTTTCTGACCCGTACTTTTGTGATGGGGTTGAGTCTTCTCGCACCGTCTATGAGACGTCGAAAATGCTTGTTATCGAAGAGTTTATCGTCAAGGAAATTATCGATATGGTAGGCTCGGAGAGCGGCTAGGTCGGCGAGTGCGGTGTCAGGCTTGACGGCCTTTTGGCTGGCGTTACCAAGGAGTCGTGAGCTTAGCCATGAGGTTAATGAATGTCTTGACACTGGCCATGCGGAGAAATTTTGTAGCGCGCAGTGCTTTTCGTAGCTGCGCTGAACGGAGAGGTAAACGGAACGGGTGTTGGCGCTGAGTCCGTTCCAGAGCAGTTTTAGGTGGCCGGCATTGAGCTGAGGAGCTCGTGAAGAGAACCACGCGGGCGGTTCAATACCGAGAGGTCCTGCCAATGGGGACAAATGTTAGCAATGTCTTCAAGATTGTTACGTGAGAGCGCGTCTGCTAATGTATTTTCCCCGGAGGGGAGCCAGTGTGGCACGATGTGGATGTCTCTCGCCGCCGCTAGGATAAGCAGGCTCTTCAGAGGTGCGTTAGGCGGACCATGAAGAAAGCCTTTCTTGAGTCCCGTGTGCGCTGTGGAGCTATCCGTGTGGATAACGAGAGTATGATGGAGCCAATGGTGGCTGAAGAGTAGGAAGCCTTGTAGAATAGCGTCTACTTCGTTGGTATTGATGTGCGCATGTGCGTCTTCAGCAAGGGCCAATGTGGCAGCATTGCTTGGATGAAGCTGGTGACAATGGGCCAGCCAGCAGTCTAATGTAGACTGGGATGAGAAGAAGAAGAGCCCCTGGCCTATACTAGAGGCATCTGTGTAGAGATGCGTGATGGGGCGGCGGCAGGGGTCAATTAGGAGTACGCCGTTGAAGAGAGACAAGGAGTCCCTCCACCATTCCAAATCGTCACGTATCTCGTAAGGGATACGGCGGCGCGCACTACTCCCATGTGGGAAAGCGGCTTGGAAGGTGTATAGAGACTGTAATCTTGTTCTTCCAAGTCGGACAACTCTTGAACAAAAGGCTAATAAGCCTGTGAGGCGCTCTGCTTGCTTGAGGGAGATATTCGCTGCGTTCAGGGCAGCTGCGGCGTCCAATGTGGCGCGGCACAACTTTTCTGGCGGCAGACGAGCTTCCATTGCAATAGAGTCGATCTGGATACCTAGGACTGTAACACAGGTCCCTTGCTGGTCCTTTTGTGTATTGCGAGGAATACGTAGATAGTCGGTGACTCTGTTATAAACCTCATCAAAAAGACCCGTGGGGTCGGACACTGAGGGAGACTGAGTAATTGTGATGAAGTCATCTAGGTAATGATTGATATGGAATGCAGGGAGGAGGCATTGGAGTATCCAATGGAGTGCCTCGGCGAAGAGGTTGAAGAGAAACGGGGCCGTTGCGAGGCCAAAGGGGAGGCAGCATTCGACATAAGTGGAATCGGTCCACTGGAAGGCAAGGAGGTGCTGGTTATCCTCGGCAACGGGGACTATTCGGAAGGCGTCCTTGATGTCCCTCTTGATTATTGTGCAACCTGGGCCAGCTTGTATGAGCTGCTCGTATATGTCATCGATTGTCATGTATTCGATAGCTGACCAGGAGTCCGGTATGCCCTGGTTAAGGCCCTGTCCAGGGGGCCAGGATAGATCATGGATGCGGCGCCATCCCCCGTCGTGCTTAGGGACTAACCCAAGCGGTGAAACGAAGGAGGGCCTAGAGGCTAGTCTAACACGACCGAGGCTGAGATCCTCTGCTAGTTTGGCCGTGATCATGCCGGGTTCATGTATGTGATGGTTGGAGGAATAGCGAAACTGCTTCTTGCCCCTATAGCCGACCTGAACACCGTAGGTCAGAATGCCAGCGATAGTGGACCCGAGATCGCCCGGGTAGTAGCGTAGAAGATTGCTCCAGCCTTTCGCGTGCAGTGGCGACGGAGAGGACTGTAGCCTTGGGAGCTCTGGGTTGAAAACAGGGTATTGAACAGCAGTGTTTGGTCAGGGTGGTTGCCCCTGTGGTATGAGGCTTAGGGATAGGGGATTGAGAACAACGTTGTCGGTGTCACTAGTGCAGTTCTCAAGGGCTGTCACTTGCTATTTCTTCTTGCGGCAGGAGGAGGCGCCATGCTCGCTTAGGCCACATGCTGTGCACTCATGACGTCTCTTACAGCCTTCCCAGGTGCACCCTGTCGTATTGAACTTATCGCAAACTTCTGTCTCATTATTCGAAGATCTGGTATTCCTAGCTTGACGAGGCCGGGTTGGAGGGTTTGTTGGTGACTTCGCAGACAGGGTGAGATTGTGGCGGAGGTATTTCTCGCGAAATGGGCCTGTGACCAGGTAGTTGTCCGTCGATAACTCTCCTTTATCCATCATGTATTGGTGGAAATTAAGGGCAAGTGGGAGGACTGCTTCCGACCACTGATAAGTCTGAGCGAAGTCCAGGATCTGCCTCATAAACATGAGTAGATTGGGAACTGCTTTAGGATGTTTTTCGCCGAAGAGATATCCTACAACGGCCAGATAGGCAAGAAAGCAGGTCGTCCATATTTGAGGGTTGGGGCCCCAGTCCTTAAGCGACGCTGCTGCCTTCTTGAAGCCTACTGTGCCTCCCAACTCGGTCATCTCGAAGACTCTGTCCTCCTGATCTAGCTCGGTGACTGACTTCTCTTTGAAGCGTATGAGTTCAGTCGCCTTCAACTTCTTCTCAAAGACGCGAGTAAGAAGGGCGGCGGAGACACCCGGAAATATGTCGATGAGTGGTTTGACTTCGGGGAGTGGCTCACGGTTTTCTTCGAGATTATCGTCATCTTGCAGGTCCACACGAGGCCTTCTGTGGCGGAGATCGGTCTCCGCTACATCCAATTCAAGGCGCCTAGCCCGGTCTCTCTGTATCTGTCCTAGCCAGCTGGCACGGTCTGCCGCACCCATGGTTTCCCAAATGTGGGCCGGCGGCCAAGCGGAGTCGAGCGGGGCAGGAGTGGCACTGCTAGACTGGCTGAACGTCATGGTGGAGAGCGATATAGTCAAGGCCTATCGGTGCTGGAGAAGGACGTGAAACAAAATCAAGACTTGACTGCGTGAGAGATGACGAGCTACCCGCAGAGGCAAGCAACTGAACTCGTGAGGCAGTTGTAGGAGGAAGAGGCCCTCAAAATGTCGGTGTAGACATCACGTGAGGCTATGGGCATTGTGAGGCAACCCCAATAAAACTTCTCCCTTTAAAAATATGTCATTGTTGCAAGAAATTAATGTTGTATACTGCGTGCTTTATATATATATTTCTGTATTCTCATATATAGTTTTGAGTAATTTTTGATTTTCACAACCATAACAACGTTATAAGGTCCTTGACTCGGAATTGAATGTCTTACTATCTCTTATTGATTGGAAAACAGTCTAACTTCTCAATTTTTCTTTAGAGAGAGACTGGTTTCCGAGTGAAACCTACATATATGACGAGAACGGAGATTAATTACAGTATTTTATGAGAGTTAATCAGCAGTTTTATGCGTGTTGGCACAGACTAATTTGGATATTTATGCCAAAACGGGTTCTTGGCGGGTAACCCGCGGGTACCCGCCAAGAACCCATGGGTTTATGGGTATGGGTTTTGGGTCCAAGGTGCATACCCGACCCATGGGTACGGGTCCTGAAGTTGGACCCAAACCCGACCCAAAGCGAGGCCTAATCTCGTCTTCGGCCTCGGGTAACTGAGAGTCACGGGTGTCTCTTTCGCCCGAGCCGCGTAAACGTGTTAGCTGGTTTGTAAGTGTCAAAAGCCGATAATTGTTGGGCACGCCACCGACAGTTGTTGTCTGCTGCTGTAGCGTAAGAGGCACAATGAGTGCTCTAGGCCAATTGTCCTCTCCTTCACGAAGGTCTTCGGCTCGGCTGTTTGTTTCAATAGCGGCGAGATAACTGCGCCATTCATTTGACTCTTTCAGAGTCTCGGCCGCTTTATCAATGAGCCTCTTGCTGAACCCGAACTCCTTCGTTCATGTTGTGAGAGCATAACGGCCACCAAATTCCATAACCGGAGAGAAGGCTCGCATCATCAGGTATTTGCTTTGATATGCTACGGATCGCGAGCCAAACAGCACGGCAGGGAGAGTGTTGATGGTTTCTTTGGTGGGCTTTGCGGCCAACATGAGTTGATGCCAATCCTCTGGCGACACGGCAGAAACCAGGCGCTGCGCCTCGTTGAGCTGCGGTATGTTTCTAAGGATCTTTGATGCTTCACTATACTATTGCAATAGCCACGTAGTCTGGGCATAGGATTCTCCCAGTAAAACTCACGTCTTGTGGATCCTCCATGGAGATCAACCCTGATGGTCTGATAATGAGATCAACATACACCAGCTGTGGGAGACCTCGGTTGTTATGATTCGGGATGGAATCAAAGCTGCATGAAAACAAAGTTGTTGCAAGGATGGTAATAGAGACCGGTATACCTTTTTGAAATTCGATCGACGAGCAGGACCATGGTGGCAGATTTGCCTACCGGCTCAGTCATTGCCTAGGAGTGTAGCTGGTTGTTACTTCCATTTTGTGGTTTCCGGACTGCGGTTTGCCATGACGTGGTAAAGTCCTGTTGTGCCTGGGTCACCACCGGATACTCGTTTCAATACATAGATCCAAACATCATATTTATCATATTCTACACACGGGTCATTTGCCTAGTATAAAGATTGCGCTAAATTCGTGCATGGTTTCGCTATCCGCGGTTCCTCATCCCAGTTGGGTCACTATAAAATCTGGCGTATATTTCCTACCTCACGTAAGTCTATCAAGCCTGATTTGTCACCAATCCTTCTCCTTTATATGAATAGTTAGATCGCAGGATCCTTGAACAAATCGATAGATATGCCGTTAGACGTCCTTGTCAAGTTCAGAGTCGGATTTAGCTGATTCCAAGGAGCCAAATCGTAATCATAGCGATTCAACGTATGGATGATATTTCGCTCAGTCAGAGAATCCACGCGTTAGTATTAAAAAGTTCTCGCTCTCACAAATATCCCCACTTGATGGAATCAAGCAACATATTATCCGAAATATGCTATTATATAGTATCTACATACTTGTGGGCTTAATCATGCTTGGAGATCTCATAGAAACTCGAAGCCTCGATTTGCACAAGTATGCTCGGTTTGTACATTCACCTTCCGCATTGAATAATATAAGCTGATGAACGACAACAGCGTGAACATAGCGGGCGTGGATTTTGGCCTGAATGTGGAATCTGCGCAGCTGGATCCTTCGGCTACTCCGACGTATCCCTCAACGACCGAGCCAGATGAATGGATCGCGATAAAAGCAATTATTTTCCGCTTTCCAATTCTTTGGAACTAACTACCTTCAATTGCCATTTAGGGAGACTATCCCCACTCCAGATGTGACTTTCAGCCACTTGAATAGACTCATCAATTATGCGACTGATCGCGGGCACAACGAATCAGCATACGCGATACTGGATGTTGTGAGTCCCGAATCCATTTTCAGGTCGCAGACCGGTTTTTCTAGTCAGTGTTCTGCTAAGTTTTATTTGAGGGTCTATGTGATATGGAGCAATCGAAGATGACTCCTGTTGCTGATGGGTGGCTCTTTTCTTCAGGAATGTACGTGTAACTTGAAGCAATCCTTTGATACCAAATACTAACTGCAGTCAGATCGCCAGAATCATGTTGACTGTTCGACAGCCGCCGCCGCCCGTATTTCTCCGAATCCCTCCCGAAGGGCCAATTCCACACAACAATCTGTCTGCAATTGTCTTCAAACCGATACCACGAACGGAGATATTGCGCCTCTACAGAGAGGGTTAGGTATCCTGGAATTGCATCAAGCTCAGCGAGCTTAGGTTAAAGATGGTGTGGGTATTGACTTGCAAGGAGAAAAACCTTGTCCTGACCCGATCAATAGGAGCAATTAAAGCTCAGGAAAGGCCTCAATCTCCTGTCTATTTATAGGCATTTTGCGGTTGCCATAGAACAACTTCAAATGGCAATAAAGGCCCTCCATGGTAAGCAGTCGAATCCTCAACTTAAGAATCTAGCTGACCTCAACACCGAGACAAACCGATGACCAAGAATTGGCCAACATAGTAGACCATGTAACCAATTGCGTTGAACAAACAACTCTTTTGTACCGGTTATCCCTTGACGAAGAAGACCGCAGGAAAGCCACATCCCTGGCTAAGAAAGGCTGTGCCACTACTATTTTCGGTAGTGGGATTGCATACATCGTTGTGAAAATCGCCATTCCTTTGGTCGCCGGAGTGGCCGTAGCTATTGCTCGTGGGGCGTTCTCGTACGGATGGGCTGCTAATCTGTGTTATCGGAATTCCAACGACTGTAAGGCTGTACTGCGTCAGCCATAGCTATATACACACATATTCAGACTGACAATCTTCCTTAATAGTCAAAGACCAGGTCCGGCGGATGATCGAACCCCTCCGGGGGATTTGGTCTTTCCGACGCTACTTCAAGCTACACGACAAAGATTTGTAGGCAACAACGATGGCATACTCTCGCAATTTGCGAATGACATGGAGAGGACATACAGGATTGACGTGTGACGAGACTGGGTAGACCCGGAATATACCCCAACATTTCTGACCTTGGAACTGGAGGGCTTGGAATTCACTGTCAGCGAATTCAAGAGTTACGTGGCCAAGAGTAATTCGTGGTCGGAGTGTCATAATGGACCGCTTGAATGGCAGATATCGACTAAAGTAGGAGAACCTTATCGAAGCATGCTCTGTCTTGGTTTTAGAAGACTTATCATAACCTGCGCAAAGCCGTACGCAGCGTCACACTCAAATGACTGCTCCTCCGGGCACCTTTGAAACTAAGAGATGTTGATTGTGGCTGTGACTGGCGGGCACGCACCACATGCCAATGAGCATGGTCGAGCGTACAACTCTCCGCTGCGGTGTTCATTAGCAATACATTTAGACATTGACATTTCCCAAGGGACTAACCAAAATCTAGTCCCATGTCCATATTACTAATGCCCATAGGAACTCCTATAAGAATCTAGTCGTAGTACTGGACCCACTCCCATATAACTACCCTCTCACTCTTGGTGGCTTAGCTAACCACATAAGGAGCCGATGTGGCTTTGAATTTTTTTCTTTCTACGGCGCTTGCCCACTACAGTTAGGCGTTATATCTGATACTAGATAATTTTCTCTATACACCTAATCTACTTTCCGGTTAAAGAGTTACCACTCTTTGCAGGACACAAACATGCTGGCCTCATTATCAGGATTAGGTGAAGACGTTTCATATATCTATATCAGTTGCGAAAGAAAGCACAACACGAAAATGAATGCCCAGCTGGTCGATATGTCAGTCGTTACGGAACCAGATTTGTACTTCAATATTGCAAGATTGCACTGCAACAACAGGTGCCAGTGTTTCGTTCCAGTATAAGAATGGACTCGGCCCACGTGCTGCTGATTCTGGCTATAAAAGTAACCCTCGTCGAAGGCACTTTTAAGAGCGAACCCAAAATCTGCCAAAGGTGCCAGGTATGCGAACACATCCTTCTCATCCAGGCTTGCGGCAACTCCGATAGGCGTTTCGCGTTTACTGTTTGCAATATCCACGCGGGCACCTTTCTCCACAAGAGCGTGCACTGCTTGAAGCTTTCCATATTTTGCTGCAGCAATTAGAGGACCTCCGTCGTTGTGGCCGTTTAGATTGGCGCCGCTTTCCAGTAAAAGTTTCAGTAGTTTTGTGTTTCCTTTCCCAGCAGCGACTTCAAGAGCGGCGCAACCTGACGTATCACACCTTAAATCCACGATGGCTCCCTCCTTCAATAGAATGCTACTGATTGCTACACTACCGCCATTGGCGGCAGATACCAGGGCAGGACTGAAGCCATTAGTTTGGAAATTGGGGTCAGCCCTATTTTCAAGTAATTGTTTGACACGGTATTCGTCATTTTGCTCGGCACATTTGCCAAGCGCTTTATGAACCTCTGTTGTACTATTATATTCGTGTCTCATCAGATGATCTGCCAACGTCATCAACATCTGCGGATCCTTCTGACCCCAAGCAATATCGAGGGGTGTCTCCTCAATCTCTGTGCGCTTTATGCTGGCCGTTAGGTCTGCGCCCTTCGTTAGAAGGAATTCCACTGTTTCGACGCATCCTGAGTGGGTTGCGAGTAGGAGTGGATATCCATAACGAGGCTTCTCCTGGGAGCCCTGCCCAGTGGCAAGCAATTTCTTGACCATGGCAGTATCACCTAGGTGGGCGGCAACTTCTAAAGCATTGCGATATCCCTTTGGTGTCCTTTCACCACGTGAAAAGTCCAGCCATCTGCGTAGCTTATATTTGACTTCGGTCGATAGATCGTCATGGAATAACTCGTAGTCATTTGGGGAGGCTCGGGGTTCCATTATGAAAGTGATTAAAATTCTGCTCAAATTCACCCAAACCAGCGTATTTAAGCTGCGTCTTATACTTTCTAGATCTATAATAGTAGATTAGTAATCTGGCAAACTTGATTAGTTATGTATGTGGTTCCATTTTTGGATTTGCTCTGCGAATAGCATGCAACTGATTAAGACCCTGTAGTTCTCAGTCAACCTGTTCCATTTCTAGGCCAAAAAGGACACACTGACCAGCGAACATTGGTCTGGATCGATGGTGCTATAATGGTATATGGGCCAACAAAAAGGTGTTGATGGACTGACCTCGCCTATCCCTATATTAGCGGAACATAATATTCACACGCTTTTGTATATAAGAGTACACACGATAATATAAAGGTCTTGGCATATTCGCACTGCGGAGATAGACGTGATATGTGGAGCATTTGTTTATTTTCTCTTTTCCCTATTCTTGTTTTTTCTTTCTTTTCTTCTGATCGCCTTTTTAAAGAAACCACTTTGGCCAAACAGTTAGCAGTTATGTGCCACCCAACAAAAGATTAAGCTTCATGACTCTTTATTTTTTCCTTCTCAACCTGCGCCGAACTCCACTATCTGGCGCGCGGGCCCCATAGGTGGGTCGGGTCATTTTTCTTTATTTGTTCTGTGGCTTTTTGCCCCTTTGTTCTTTATATTTCGGGATCTCGATTGGTCGATCCTACGTTTTTAATTCTTGCCACTTTTACTCCATGTTTTTTTTTTTACCTTTATTTGTCCTCGTACTAGCGTCAGTGGAGTAAACACGGATGAGATCAAACTTTTTACCCTTGATCGCCTTGATATCTGCAGATACTTCCTCCTTACTTTTACACCCCCCAGTTTGAGTTTACTGGGTGTACGACATACCTTATTGACCCTTGCCAGTAATACTTAACGGATTTGCGTTGGTACTCGTTGCTTGGGAGCTACGAACGGCGGTAATGCCGGCCGCTATCTGGGATGTATTGTTGAAAGTTTGCCCCAGTAGAATAATCAGCAGAATTTTGACAAGCAACTTCTATCGCCTCTTATGCGTATACTCTCCGTCTCCCGGGCGTGAGACAATGGAGCGACACTTGGCATTTCAGACCTCGCTCGCAGCGTTCCGAAAGACTGCAGTGGTGTGTCCGCTACGCCCCGTGTCTCTAGAGTGCCGGGGTTCAAGTGCGACCTGTGGTGATGAGTGTAATGGCTATCCCCGGCCGCTGCCGGGGTTGAACCTAGAAAACAACGGCACATAGACTTGGCTTCATAGGGTCCTGCAATAAAAACTGTCTCTGTATTCCGAATGTCAAGAGCTCGCAGATTATATACTGCCAGTGAGCTATATCCCGCGACTGTAATCCAGGCTCTCAAAGTTTTAGTACGGAAATAGCACACCTAGAGCGCTGCTACCGAAGCATGCGGCTCCCGAAATAGTCCATGTCGCAATAAATGTTACGAGTGGTCTACTTTTGATGTATATAAACAAACCCGATCTGCATAATAACCACCGCCAGTTTACCACAGCGGTTTCTTCGTTTTAGTCGAGAAGCAATATCCTGTCAATATGGAGCCAAAGAAGGGCCTCCTCGATCTGCCCATGGAATTGTTATCAGGATTGGCGGATTTTCTAACGGAAAGCGACGTCAACTCATTATCCCAAGGAAGTCGGCAACTTTATGATGGCCTAAATCGCTCTTTATATTGGAATAATGCTCGATATTTTGGATCCTCGGCATTAATACGGGCTTCTGTGAGTGGGAATTCAGCTACAGCCAAAAGGTTTTTCGAAACAGTGACGAGAGAGGGAACTATTTTGATAACGAACAATGATACTACGAATGCATGGTTCGAAGCTTTACAGTATGGACATAAAGGGGTGGCGGAGATTATACTCGAGAAAGTATGCATTGATGTGAACGCGAAAATACATAACGGTCGGACGCCATTATATATCGCCGCAGAGTTTGGCCACACAGCTCTGGTGCGGCTGCTCCTGAACACTGGAAAGGTGGATATAGACGCGGACTTCTCTGTATTTGGGACACCGCTATCGGCAGCTGCGAGGCATGGGCATGTGGAAGTAGCGAAGCTATTACTCGACACTGGGCGTGCGGATACAGAGGCTGTTAATCTGATGGGTGAGACACCACTTTACTCGGCAGCAAAGAACGGGCAAGTGGCAGTGGTACAATTATTCCTTGACAGGGGCGTGGATCTGGAAGCGATACTCGACGGGGGCCCGACACTAGGTCAGGCTCTGGTAGATATAGCAAGACGTGGCGGGCATGAAGGAGTCGTGAAGCTAATATTAAAGTCGTGAAGGTAGACAAAAACGGCCTTAGAATAGCAGCGAAGGGTGTAAAGACCTCAGTCTAACATTTAGAATGAAAAGTATCTTCGGAGTATTGAGGTGCGAAGGTAGTAGTATCGTCAAACCGGTCATCGAAGCAGGGCCCGCGCCATCTAGTTAGCCTTGTTCGAAGAATCCAAATGCACATCCTTTCAATCGCATGCATTGCATGTAAATCGTTATGTAGTATCGCTGGCAGACGCGTCAAAGTCTCATTCTACTCAATGAAAGAAGCAATCCCTACCGAACCTCCATCACTGCGGCCTCCTGGCACAACCACATAGGCATTGTGAAATTGCTTTTAGCTAACTCTGCTAGCGTGAACTCCCAATACGGCGTAAGCGACGATTTCCGGAGTCCGCTCGCCGCTGCCGCAGAAAGAGGAAACTTGCAAGTTGTCGAGTTGCTATTGGCAAACAATGCGAATGACTACGTGGAAGAACATCATGACAGCGCCATATGGCTTGCATGTATGAGTAGGGACGGATCTTAGGAAGCCTATCCTCCGCACGCTTTTTGAAAGAGTCATCTATACTAATGTTGACTTAACCGAGTTGTATGAAGCAATCACTGAATACCAATCCCAAAATGAGAACAAAATGGGTCGTCGAGACGTTTTGAGACCTTGGTGTGTTTCGGTGGTCCTATCGTTTTACGCTAGCGGTAGTTGGAACTCGGTTCTAACGTGAAAAAATCATTTGGGTGTTCGACCAAAATGGGCACCCCGACCAAGCCGGACCGAATTTGACACATGTTTAATAGGGCTATAATTAATACAAGCTGTAATATATCATATTTAGTAAGCCTAGGGTATTGGATTTTCGTAAGATTATTTTCTCATTCTGGGAAGCGGGGAGAACTTGGGGGGATGAGGGCGGCGGCGGTGGGGGAAATAAAAAAAGAAGAATCTGACATACGGTAATATGACTATGGTTAAATGACTACAGCCGAGTGACTAGGGCAGTTATATGACTACCTTAGTAATATTACCCTGGCTATATAACCATAGTCATATGACGGATTTAGTGATATGACTATGGTCATATTACGGACCTAGTATTATGACCATCGTTGTATAACCAGGCTGGGTATTTCACTATAGTCATATTACTAGATTTTTATCCTAACTTCTTCTCCCAACTTCTTCTATTTCGCCTTTCGTTCCGTTCAATCCTGTGAATTTCCTGTGTTATCCGTTTGTGGTTTTGTTGTGTTAAATACTGCATCCAAACCTTTGATGCGAGCATGGTGTGAGAGTGACAGAGTTCTTTTAAAACGTGTTTCGTCGGGATAAATTTTTGTGTTTTAGTGAGAAGCAGAAGTCTTTAGCTAGGCGAGACTCGATAGCGTTCGGTAGTTCATTTTTCGCCAGAAACTCGTAGTTGCTGACCCGGAAGACGTTGTCCTCTTTGCTCCAATCTAAATCCAATATCAAATATTGTCGCTCGAACTTTGGTTTTTTATGAGGAGTATTCGTATTCTGCTGGAGTATCGGTGAATCAGGTCTTTCGGCGAGGGGACGGCGCTTATGGCCCGCCACCTTCGCGAGACTAGACACTGCGGGCACGTCTTCCATCTCGTGATCATCGTCGCTAGATAGCTGTGCGTCAAGCATCTGCTCTTCGGAAACTGGTCGATTGAAGCGCGCTTCTACGCCGATATTTGCTTGGTCAGGAATACGGGGTTCGGGGGCTCAACAGTAACTTGGCTGGGTGGATCCGGCTCTAGGTCTAAGCCATCCGAGGTTCCAGTCGCTGCCTCCATGGCCGTGTTATGTACTTGAACATTTTGATGTTGTGGATGGTCGTTATGTAGATATACGGTGGTGTGATGTGGTGCAAGTTTCGTTGAATCAGTAGACGGATGGCTCCTATCACAGCTCCCCTCGGTGGTTTGCGGCATCTCCTCATTTAGAGATGAGCCTCTAGGGGTCGAATCTGGCTCGCTACTCTCACCCTGACCCACGTCGCTGGTAGAGGCACCCACGACACGTTGTGTCGTGTCGTTGTCTATGACTCTCGATGTGAGGACGTTGTTCCCTCCTGCCTCCTCTACTCTAGGTGGCTCGAAAGACCCCGCAGGGGTGGTCGCGGCATCAGGATAAGGCATGTTGCCTTCGGCACCAAAGGGGATAGTCGCTGACAGATTGTCTCCGGTCTCAGAACCTGGTTCAGAGTTCCCAGATAAACGGTCCACGTGGGAATGTTGAGGTACGAGTGGGTTTAATGCTTGGGAAGATGGATGATCTCTCGCGCTGGAGCTACCCGCCGTTGATAGGCTATGGAAATTATTTTCCTCGGCTTGCTCAGGTACGGTAGATCTCTCCGATTTTGCAGGTTCAAACGTCTCGTATGTATCCGAAAACAGGTTCTCTTGGCTTTGCATTCGAATACCATGGGGGCTCTGGGCGCGGTTTGATTCTTTTCGGCCGTTTGGCGTAGCCTCTTGGGTGCATTTTGTGTTGTTGGTAACCAATCCGGTTGTAGGAACTTGACATTCGCCGATACTGGTGTCTAGCGGTGTATCATGCATTGAAGCGCTCTTTCCGCCATCAGGGGTGTTGATTCCAGAATGATTCGTGGCAGGGGACTGAGATTTCGAGGAAGGGGCGATCTGCACATCTTGCCTACTTTCATGTACTGGGAAAGTAGAGGTTATGCCCACTGAAGACTGAGTCTCCACAGTATCCTCAAGATGATGAACCATTCCGCTTCCTTGTCCACCTTCGGTGGACTTGTCAATTGTATATCTTCTCTCTTCGATGTCTGTGTACGTATGGGTTGAATTACTCCTTGTATTTCCTGTTGCGAGAGACTGGGATTGCGCCGCTACACTCGACCCCTCGCTGGGGTGGCTTTTCTTCGGAGAGTTAAATTGAATATCTGGATTGGCTAATGTAAAGTTAGACGAGGCATAGGCGGAACTGCTTTCTGCTTCCTCTGTGCGAGGAGTAGCCCTTCTCTTTCCGTTGCTGGGCGGACAAGTCATGGTACTCGGTGGTAAGGTTCGCGAGATAGCGGTATCGTTGATGCAAGGCTCGTATTGGCCTTCTGATTGCTTCGACGTGGAAACTTCCTCACGAGAATGAGAAGGATGGTCGAAGTAGGTAGGAGCGGTCAGTGAGATATTTGATCGACGGGACACATGACCTGTTGGGCTTCTTGTAGTGAGGGCCGTAGAGCTAGGCCCTATATGGCCTTCGATGTGACTACCGATGTCTATGTCCATGTCAGCGTGGTCCTGTTTTATTCGCTTATTAGGATCGTATTCTTCTGGTTCCAAGGGGTCCAGTTGTCGCGGCAAAGAACTAGATAATTGTAGTGCTTCACGCGGCCGCTCTGTCTCATAAATCTCTGATTCATCGTCCTCGCGTGGCCTTCGCCGCTCTGATGTACCTGCGGAGAGCTTACTAGTGACCAAAGATGGAGGTTGAAGCATGGCAACGTCCCTTTGAGTTACTTGAAACGATTTCTTACCACCAAAATTACGGTATGGTCCCGTTGGGACGGTGGCACTTGTGGGATCATCGACAGACTCAGACGCCGGAGATCTAACCAATGTCGCGTGGTCCACATGCAAAGGATCCCCGGAGTCAATGCGAGTAGCGGAGATTGCTTGTTGTTGGATCGGATATGAGTAAATCGTCGTGCGAAGTCCCTCTGGGCCGTGTGACCACATCGTGCCATCAGGTAGCACAACGGTATCGTAGGTATTAGGATAACCTATGCGCGGATTTATGGCGACGAGGGCCGCAGAACTACTCTTCCCACTATCGGAAATAACCCCTGGACACGGTAATAACCTCTGCTCAGATCGAGGTAGGTAATATTCGGGTTGTAAGTGGCTCACGTGCCGTGATGTCGCCCTTGAACTACTGCGTAAGACATTCGATCTCCCTGCGGCAGGAATATCCACAACTCGACGTTTTCCCATAGCTTTTTGACGCGCCAAACGCTCACTGCTATTGTCTCGGAGGTTACGTAAACGCCCCCCTACAGGACCAGTGGACCTTGTAGTCGCATTGTAGGCATCATTTACGAAGGGACTCCTGCGGCTGCCATCGGGCCAACGCTGCCACATCTTAGATAGTTTAACGGCCGTGTCTTGTGCTATACGTTCTGTCACCTGTGATATGAAATCATCATTCCGTAGATATTGTGTTTGCTTGCCAGGATACGGCGTCCTTCCAGAACTAGACGGTATTTGGGCTTGATAATATTGCTTGTCGGACCGCCTTGGAAAATTGCTTTTATGGCGTTGGACCCGTCCTGTGGAGCGACCTTTTGGGCTACGACCCAAATTCCTATTGGATTTACGACTTGCAGGGAGTGCAGGCGCTTCACTCATCACAACATCTCCTGCGGTATTGGGATCATAACCTGGCGCGCCTTCTATAGCCAACGTCCCAGAGCTTGGCTGCGGTGTTGTTTCTCCTCTCGGTCTGACGCCGACACTATTAGGGGGGACGTTGGGGGTGTGGTTGTCCATGGTAGCATGTTCGGCTCCTTGAACCGAGGTTCGTTAGTGGTAGGGGAGTCTGGCTCTTGGATGTGGTATGGTAAGGCGGGTGTGTGCATCGGTCCTTGCAAAGGCTCGTCCCCTGTGCGTGGCCCGTCGCCATCTTTCCATCTCGGGCCCTGTGGCTCAGCCATGCCTAGTGACTCTGGATCATTCGAGCGTGAGAGGAGGGTAGGCTGTTGCGTTGTCATCGAGCTATTTGTGATGATTCCGGACTGAGACGAATTTTCAACGGACTTGGACCCCGAACTGTTCATGGGACCAATAATTCTTTCAACCTCTGTCGTAGCATGAGTACCCATAGAGGCACGTTGCCAAATTTGAAATAGTTGACCCATCCTCTGTGTGCCTATATAGCCTCGGATCTGTGATAGAATTTTTGCATCATCTGGTGTTGTGCTCGGCCTAGTATTTAAGCTTGAGCGAAATTCTTCAAGTTGCAAACTTTTACGTGCGCCTTCTGCAAGATGCCGGTGTTCTTCGGAGTGGCCACGTTTCCGTTCCCGTCTTCGTCTCCTCTTAATATCATGACTTGGAGGGAGCGCAGGCGCCTCACTCATCACAACATCTTTTGCGGTATTGGGGGCATTCCCAGGCGTGCCTTCTATCGCAAGAGTCCCAGGGCTTGGCTGCGGTGTTGCTTCTCCTCTCGGTCTGACGCCGTCACTATTAGGGGGAGACGTTGGAGGTGTGGTTGTCCACGGTAGCATGTTCGGCTCCTTGAAATGAGGCTCATTAGTGGTAGGGGAATCTGGCTCTTGGACGTGGTATGGGGTACGTGCAGTATCCAGCGGCCGTCGTAAAGTATCTCCTTTCCTAGTATCACACTTGTTCTCTCCCCGGGGTTGAGTCCTAGGCAATCTGGTCGGGTGACGCACACGATCTCCTCGTATAGGGTCTTCATCTCGACGGTGATATTGACCCGCTGTCTCCTCGGTGTGGGTAACGTCGGTATAAGACATAGATACCTCTCTA